CCAGTAACATGCTTGGATGAAGGGCTACCAAGTTTGTTCAAAGAAATGACCTTGATTTATATTCAAGGTCACTGGGGTCAAATATGTTTAAAAACCTTTAAACGACTTCTTCTGAATAACCAGGAGGTCTAGGGTGTTGCTATTTGGCCAGTAACATGCTGGGACGAAGGGCTACCAAGTGTTTTCAAATAAATGACCTTGATATATATTCCAGGTCACTGGGGTCAAATATGTGTAAAACTTTAAAACGACTTCTTCTGAATAACCAAGAGGCCTAGGGTGATGATATTTGGCCAGTAACATGCTTGGATGAAGGGCTACCAAGTTTGTTCAAATGAATGACCTCTGCCCATTTTTTCTGAATTACTTTAAACTTTAAGTCAAGACGCTGATATTTTGCCTGTAGCTTTATTTTAGTCCTCTTTTAAAGCTACAATTGTTAGATTAATACCAGGTGAGCAATGCAGGCCCATTGGGCCTCTTGTCTATTTTAAAAGTGTCCCATTTTTAGATCAAGCTGCATGAAGACTAAATGAGCAACAGTTTGGTAATTTCAGTAGCTACCTTGGATGGAGTGCTATAAAATTTCAACAATGTCCTACTTTTAAAGTCACAGGGTCAAAAAGCATTTTTAAAACATCATGCAAAAAATCTTACAGTCTATAGCCATGATACTTTAGTATTTTATGAAGGCCATTAGTGCATGTCCATTTCTAATATATTGGGTTGAGGTCAAAGGTAAACATTTTCTGAAGTCCCATAATGCCCAAGGTCATGATACCCAGTGGATATCTGATGTATAGTTGAATAAACAACCTTGACCAGTTTTCTTGTCAAAGGGTTGAGATAGGTAAAAAAAACTTTGAACATCAGTATCTTAAGGACCACCCATAGAACCAGGTTAGTTATGTTATGTCAACCAACAGTGCAAGTCTTTTAATGAGAAGATTTTGCCTTGATTAGTTAAATATCAGATAAGTGATACAGGCCATTTGGGCCTTTAATTTAAGTTTTACTTTTGTGCTTTTTTAAGTTGCACAGTTGTTTCAATTTTAATTTGAAGTCTCACATTCTTGCTACTTTAATTTAATGTTGAACATTATTTTTAATTTTAAAGTTTCACATTTGTTTCAATTTTAATTTAGTGTCTTATAAATTTCATAGTGTGTATTTAAAGCCTTGCAGTCATTTTAATATTAATCTAAATCTCAAGTTATTTTCTTCTTTAAAATCTTTAAGATAACTTACATTTAGTTAGACAAGCACATTTTTCTGATTCTTTTAATTTTTCCTATCTCAACCTTAATATTTATCCTGTAAACTGTATAAACAAGGAGGCAGTTCATTACTTTCCAAATGTGTTCAGACTGTTACACATATATAAATGTCAAAAATAATGTGTCAAAATTTCTTTTTTAAACGATCATAACATTTCAATACTATTTACAGGGGGTGGGGTATAGGAGTCACCCTATTTGTCTGTCCATGACCCTGTAAGCACAACTCCTCATAAACTGTGTATTAGATTTTTTGTAGCTTGACACAGTGAAATATTCCTGGATTAATGGCCCTTGAAACTTAAATTTCTTCTCACGAAACCTTGTAAGCGCAACTTCTCCTAAACCATTTGTTGGATTTTTTGGTAACTTGGCACAGTCAAACTACATCATATGTTTATGTACAGGAAGAAATGAATCTCTGATTCAACTATGTTTTTCCTGGTGATATGGCCCTTGAAACTTTTATTTCTTCTCCAGGAACCTTTTAAGCACAAGCAGGGTTATATCACATTTTCTCTTATTACATTAAGCTTATCATATTTTAAATAACTACTGATTTATGTGACTTTAAATACTTTGTTTCTTTGTGAAAGCAATGAAACTAATTCTAAGTACTTTCTGCCATGGCAGCTAGATTATATGAGAACTGGTTTAACATGCACATATGACGGACTGTACAAAATGATACGGTGCCCTAATGATCCCCTTATCTCTCTGCTAACTTACTCTCTTTATCCTTGTAACCAGTAGTGATGTATTGTTACTAATCAATGTGTGTAGGAACAAAATCAACAGATTGTTTTATAACCAAAATGACATCAGGACCAGTACAAGTTGTATAACAAATATAAGCATTGTATTTATAATGATAATATACAGTTAGATTACTAGATAACATAACAAAGGTGATAAGTACTTTATGTACTTGTTATCCTCCAAACCACGTCACGAGTATTGAGTATTTCATATACCAGTTGTCCCATTTCCAGAGCCTTGGTGATGCACAAAATCTTCAACCTGTCAGAAGATGGGACCAAGTAAGATGGAGCACTTCTACATCATCATACCTATTGATACTTCTCTCTGCCTTCAGCACCACCTCAAAGTCAGACCTGGGCAAGGGGATAGGGCTGTCTGTTTTAACAGTATCACCTCAAAGTCAGACCTGGGCATAGGGGAGGGCAAGGGCATAGGGCTGTCAGCCATCAGCACCACCTCAACATCAAACCTGGGCATAGGGGAAGGCAAGGGTTGCATGACATCAGCACCACCTCAATATCAGACCTAGGCATATGGGATAGGGCTGGGGATTGGGCTGTCTGCCATCAGCACCACCTCAAAGTCATATCTAGCCATAGGGGTTGGCAAGGGGATAGGGCTGTCTGCCATCAACACTACCTCAAATTCAGACCTGGGCATAGGGAAGGGCAAGGGTTGCATGCCATCAGCACCACCTCAATATCAGACCTAGGCATATGGGAGAACAAGGGGATAGGGCTGTCTTCCATCAGCACCACCTCAAAGTTATATCTAGGCATAGAGGTTGGCAAGGGGATAGGGCTGTCTGCCATCAACACTACCTCAACATCAGACCTGGGCATAGGGGAGGGCAAGGGTTGCATGCTATCAGCACCACCTCAACATCAGACCTGGGCATAGGGGTTGTCAAGGGGATAGGGCATGTCTTCCATTAGCGCTACCTTAAAGTCAGACCAGGCTTAGGAGTGGGCAAGGGGATAGGGCTGTCTGCCATCAACACCACCTCAAAGTCATACCTGGGCATAGGAGAGGGCAAGGGTTTCATGCTATCAGCACCACCTCAATATCAGACCTGGGCATAGGAGAGGGCAAGGGGATAGGGCCTGTCTTCCATTAGCACCACCTCAAAGTCAGACATAGGCTTAGGGGTGGACAAGGGGATAGGGCATGTCTTCCATTAGCACCACCTTAAAGTCAGACCAGGCTTAGGGGTGGACAAGGGGATAGGGCTGTCTGCCATCAACACTACCTCAAATTCAGACCTGGGCATAAGGGAGGGCAAGGGTTACATTCCATCAACACCACCTCGATATCAGACCTAGGTATAGGGAATTGGGCTGTCTGCCATCAGAACCACCTCAAAGTCAGACCTGGACATAGCAAAGGAAAGGGAATGGAGTTGTCTGCCTCTAACATTCTCAGAGTTGACGGGGACACTATTGATCTAAGAATTAATGTCTCAAAAATTACCATCAAGTCTTACCTGTACATAGGGCAGGGTGAAGGATGGGACAGGTTCTGTTTGCCTGGTGTGTGTGTGGGGGGATGTTCTGTCTGGAAAAACACTGATTTTGAGTGGTGTCTCTCCCCATCTATCAGATGCATACTGTTCAAAACTACTCTTTATATAAAGATACCTCAAATCTAAAACCTGCAAATGTATGAAGGTGTATAGTTTGGCTTGCATTTTATCACACCAGGCAGATGGGTACAATGTATAGATAGTATGCACGTATCTGCTTTGTTAAATTCATAATCTACAGGTACATTGTGACTGGTGCCAGGAGGAGAATGGACCACTATGGAAGTCAACAGTATCATATAGAATTCACAGTGCATAACAGGGGCAGTGGAACTAACCAGATAGTTGATCTTCCAA